CAACAATGGAATTGAATTGCAGACAGAGATAGAGACGGACAATTGAGTCAAGCGCGTGAATCGTTCGTTGTGAATTATAGTGTTTATTTAAGTTTTAGCGTGACTGTGGAAATTAGGTGAATTTCAAAGTTGTATTGAGAAAGAATAAACTAGTTTTATTTAAGAAAGGACTTGTATCGCTAAAGTTTCTTCGGAAATAATTTTTACGGAAATTTAACAAACGAACAGAGACGTAACAGATTATTATATTTAAGTAGTTGAATCATAAAGAAAAAAAACATTAGTTTGAATACTAACAGAATCCATTTATAGTAACTCAATAGAATTTGTAGATCTGATATTATAATTATTGATTGTTTTAGCACATCTACAGAATTTCTATCTATCTATACATTATGAAAAACCATGGATATATTTAACGTTAAATATTTCACAAAATGGGAATTGCTAACTTGTTCTGTTTGATGTTTTAAGCTCTGAATAACATTTCTACAGAGAAACATCATGGTCGTTATACAGGACCGAAACGGCGCTGATCTATTCATTGTCAAATTATTCTGTTTATTTTAATGTTTGCAGGTCTGAACAACATTTGTACAGGGGCACCTTATGATCCTTATAAAGGACCGAAACGACAGATGTATTTATTGCCAAATATAATCATTCTGTTTGTTTAATGTTTTCAGCTCTGAACAACAGTTGTACAGAGATACCTTATGATCCTTATAAAGGACCGAAACGACAGATGTATTTATTGCCAAATATAATCATTCTGTTTAATCTTTTCAGCTCTGAACAACAGTTGTACAGAGATACCTTATGATCCTTATAAAGGACCGAAACGACAGATGCATTAATTGTCAAATAGAAAAAAAAAACTGTCTTTCGTCATCTTTCTTTACAGAAAAAATTAATTTAAATACTAATTGGTTTAATTATGTAGCAGATATATCATATTCTTTTAAGAGTTAGGAAAGAAGGTTGTCTTTTTTTTTAATTTTCTCTAAAATTGGTCTTACTACTTTATGAAGTTTGTTGTTTTAACCCGTGAGAATAAGTTGTAGAGGAACATTCTAAGAAAATATCTATCAACTTTAAAAACGAATTGGTAAAAAACCTATGTACGTGGATATTCAGTATAATATTTAATGTTTTAAAGCAAATCCGGTGAAAAAACGTCTTTATTTTCATTTTAATACCCCCCGTAAATAAAGTTTATAAAAACAAGTATACAAAATATACATTATGAAAATGTCAGAATTCACGCCATGTTATTTGCCCTTTCTTCCATTTTTAACTGGTTGTAGGCGAACGTCATGTTGGGGATGAACTCTATGATAACCTCGGCTGACCCTAATCCATCAACTGTAGAAAATCTGTTTGATTCTATAAACATGTACTTGAGTGGAATGTGTCAACATCTTGTTGTTGGAGAAGATCCTGCTATCATCTGGACCACTCTTGCTACTCTCCGAAGTGAGAAACTGGAGTTCGACCATATAGCTGGACAAAATCTGACCTTAGCATCATTGGATAACGGTCAGAATAACCACTGGGTAAATATTGCTACCAGGATCGTTTGTCTTAATTTTAAAGTCCAGTAAATTCCCATTCCTGTACTTCTTTCAGGTCACTAAATGGTGAGAAATACTTATGAAGAGTAGTTATACTGTTTAAAATAGAAAACTCAGAAAAAATACTGTTGGAATCCAAACGATTAGAGAGAAGCAAAATTAAATAAACTAAGATTCTGTGATATTATTAAAAGTAACGAATCATAATAACCCGATATTCACACCAAGCTATATCTTGTTAGTATCTGTTTATCATTGTTTAGTTGGACGCGTACTTAGCTTTATAACTCCCTCAGGAAGAACAATATTATTGTAACGATTTATTTTTACCAATTCACTTGTAATAATAGTTTAAATTCTGGAAAGGTCATTAGTGTGTGAAAGAAAAAGTAAGATAGCTGAAAAAGAAACGTTGTGATTGGTTTTCTTATACTTATTTAAGAGTAAGTGACTACTTAGTATAATAAGAAATGGTTTGATGTGTTTTGTGTTAACAGAAAGATTAATTCACCTTTTGGAACTGTATTTGTTTTCTTTAAGCTTGTTCTTGGTAGTCAACTTATGGGTGCATACCAAATGTGGACTTGTGACACAATCACGTGTTACGGTGCGTGTGTTGGTTCAGCAGAAATCGCCCTTTCAGCAGCAGCTGTTGTTGGAGGAAGTACACTTGTGGGCTCCTTGTTAGAAATTGGTCTTTACAACCCAGTCACTGGCCAACGGATCCTGATAGACAAACTCTCAACTCCAGTGACTTTCACAGTTCGAGTAGAGAATTTGCAGATTGGTAATCGTGAAATAATCTTAGTAAGTTTATTGTGACAACACATTTAATGATAATTACTCTCAAATAATACTCAACTTAATAATTTATCTTTCTTATCACAAATTAATAATATCATACATTTTATCAAATAATTAGTGTTCAATGTTTATGTGAAGCCAGGCAAGTTTTTTATTTGGTTTTTATTAAGCACAAGGCTACACAATAGGCTATCTGCGCTCTGCCCACCACGGGTATCGAAAATCGATTTTTAATGTCGTAAACTTACAGACTTACGGCTGAGCCAATGGGGTGGCACGTGGCAAGGAAACAGTTGGATAAAATATATAGACTTTTTATTATTTTGTGTCCTCTTTAATAGAAAATTATTTATAATTTTAAGCCTTTCATAAGAATTATAGTTTCCTAGTAATATTTGTGTGTAAAATTCTAGAGAAAAATATTTATATTTCTTGTGTCAGGAAAGTTTCAAAGAGAATATTTTTACATCTACTGAGACCCTTTTTAGATCATCTCCTAGAGCCTTTTGGTTCACAGATGCCCCCAAGTGGCACAGCGGTATGTCTGCGGACTTACAACGCTATAATCCGGGTTTCAATACCCGTGGTGGGCAGAGCACAGATAGCCCACTGTGTAGCTTTGTGCTTAATTACAAACAAAGAAAAGAAACAAAATGGTTTACAGATCTCGGTTTGGGAAACATTGGCATAATTTTTGCACATGATAATTGTTTATAATATATCATTAAATTCATTTTTAGCTTGAAAAAAGTATGTATTTCTAATATCAGTACAGTAATCGACAGTTCATTTCTGAGTTTTGTTTTCCTGAACTTGTATTTCATGGATTACTTTAGATACAGAAGTTATTAACTTTTAGGGCAACGAGTCAGTTACGTACAAGCATGACGCAATAATCGACGAAAACAAAAAATATGTCAGAAAAGGTATTCAACAATAAGTAATAATTCCTCTTTTTTAGAGGTTCTTGTTAATGCCACCTGTACAGAGGGTTGTAATCTCGTACGTAAAATACCTTTTAATTTAGAATATTTTATTAACTTTTATTTTTTTCCAAATGTTGAAGTCTTGTATATGATGGCCGAGACACTTAGCAATAACGTAACTCTACAGTTTCCATTCCAAAAAGTATTTTCTATATAAACGGAAGTTTGGTCTGTTCCACCTTCTCTTGGCAGATATTCCAAAGTGCTTCTACAGAGATGGACATTATTTTCTGATTGCTCATTTGAGGCCAAATTTCATAAGCAGTTCTTGTGGAGATTCAACTGGGATTTCCATAAAGGGAATGCCCTAAATCTCGGACTTTTCTTCCTTTTATTTCAGAATATTTGCCATTGATTTTGAACTGTTGCTGAAAGCCCTCTCATAGTGAAGTTTAACATGGTTGGAGAAATTTCTATAAAGACTATAAATCTCCTGTTAAAAAAGGGGCTTCCAAATGTGTTTCCTTTGACACTCTTTTTATCTATTATAGAATAAACTAGCTACGACTACACAGCTTATCAGTACATAAATAGATGGCCACTCTAGAAAGAATGTTGTTTTATCAAATAAAAACTAAATTGCTGAAACAACAGTTTTACAACATAGTAGAAGGTTACCATTATAATTTAATGAACACAGTTTTACAACATATTCATGAGATTTGAAATCCGAGTGTTTGAAATTGCACTCCAATTCTGGTAAAGGACTTGGTTGAGGGTATCTCTAGAAGTTGATTGTTTGGGATGCTTTTGCAGGGAACAGTCAAGGATGGACCAGACACCGTTCTCTAATGTTCTTAGCCGGTGATTGGTCTGAATATATGAGAGTGGTAATGCCTTGATCTTTATGTTATCATTTTGTGATTCGTGCTGAAGGATCAGGAGACCCACCTTGCATGAAACACTTCCTTATCTGGTAAGGTGGTCATTTCCATAGCCAGGAAGTAGCCATTGCTCGAGAATTCTGATGAATCGGATAGCAGTGACTGTACCTTTCACACCACCAGCTGTGATGTTCTAATTGCTCAAATGGCACCCTAAGCCACAACAGAAATCCTGCTGTATGTTGTTGTAACTTGCAGATGTTTCATAAAAGGTCCTGGGAGAATACTTGTCACAGCCAGCTGTGTCCACTGTCTGAATAGTGTGCAAATAAGGACTCATCGGAAAAATTATAGTGTCCTAAAAGATAGGAGAGTGTGATCATATATGTCATGTCCACTGCTGTAGACGTACTATATTGCATTGAGTGAAGAATGGTTCCCATCTAGTCAACTCTTCCTTTGTAGCCTATACTATGAAGATAACTTCAGGAGTGGCCGTTTTACGTGGATCATTATCTACACTTCCCCTCACAGCACGAACAGTAAATTCTGTCGGTTTTGGACATTGTCATCCCATTGACTGAGTACAACAGCCTTGCAAATGACTTGGAAATGTCTCACTGATTTTAACTTTTAACATCCAACCACAGGATGAAGCGAAAATGTGGTTAATTTCGGTAATCCTTTTTTTTTTTTTTGCCGTTTGTATTATGTGGCCTTTACCAAGTTGTATCTGTAGTTATGAGTGGGGGATAAATTTCATATGATTGCATGAAGATGGTCAATTTGTATTATTGCAGTGTTCATTTGCTTACTGATAGGCTATGTATGAAGTCGTTGGACAAAGTTTCAAATAATTATTGATACCACCTTAGTAAGTTTCTTTAACAGATGCCCGATAAAAAATGTTGTGGGTTTGCTGCAATCGCCTGTACAGATCCAATCCTCGTCTCGTTTTACCACAAACATCTATCTATCACGTGGAAAATAAAGATCCTCCTGAACATTGGTAATCCATTCTGCTATGTATGCTGCACTAACTTGTGAAATTTGTCTTTGAAGGTTTTCTAGGCCGAGATGTTTTATTATAGCTTTCTTCACGCTATGCTTAGATATTTCCAATCCTGATGCCATTGTGTACTGGGATGAAGGATTTGTCTGGAGGACCAAGCTGCAGATTTTCTTCTTGTTGCAATATAGTTCTTATTTGTCGTGGGTTGGCTTCTTTTCAAATTTTCTTCTAGTTACCATGTAGTCCTTATTTGTCATGGGTTGACTTCTTTTCAGATTTTCTTCTTGTTGTCCTTCTGTTCTTATTCACCATGCGTTGGCTTCTTTACAGATTTTCTTCAGATTTCTTAACCACATCCAAAGTTTTTCCTTGGTTTGTGAATGCATTGTCCATGGCATGACAGAAACGTGAAAATACTTCTTACATTTCTTAAGTACGTCTATAGTCGTGTAGCCTACGTCGGAAGAGCTGTAAAGTAGTTTCCCCCATAATATCAGTCTTTTGGTAGCATAGCCATCCAAACAACTGATTGTAAACTTGTCTGTAAAATGTAACGAATATTTATTTTATTTCTCATACCATTTAACCTACCAATCCCACATTTTAACTTGACTATTTATAGATAGTTTATTTATGATGTATAACAATGTATTTGGCACTATTAAGACTTGTCGATTTATTTCGTATGTACAATTCAATTTTATTCACATACTAAAGCACAGCGGTATGTCTGCGGACTTACAACGCTAGAATCTGGGTTTCGATACCCGTGGTGGGCAGATCACAGATAGCCCATTGTGTAGCTTTGTGCTTAACTTAAAAAAAACACATACTAAATATTATAAATCATAAAATTAACAGCAATAATCAATAAAGTACATAAAAAGCAGATAGACAAAAGATATATATACTTGTACAGTGTACATCCCCTAAAATATTAACATAACATATTGTTTAGGGACAACAAGGGACCTGTTGGTCTATCTCGGCTGTTCCATCCTTTAAACTAAACTATTATAAATTTTAAAAAAATCTTAAAGCCAACCCTTATCATTCATATAGTTATCAAGCTT